CTCAGCCCTCGCTGGGGATGCTGCCGGCCGTGAGTCCCCGGGAAAAGTCCCTGTCTCGAGAGTCCCATTGGAAACGGAGCCCGGCTCGCCTGCTCAGGGGCTTTCGTGCACTGCAGGCATTTCTACAGCTAATTAAATGTTATTAAGCACAGCCGGTGTGAGCAGCAGCCGGGTTACGCTGGGCAGCGTGCTGGCTGGGCTGGGTGCTTTGGTGGTGGGCACATCCTCCTTCCTTGGGGACAGGCTGTTTGTTCCTCCTGGGGCTGGTGAGCGGAGTAATGGATCGATTGCTGAAGGAAATGGAAACAACACCTTTTAGTCCTACGCTTGTTGTGAAGTGCAGCTGTTGATGCAGCGAATGAATATGAAATGTTTCAGACCAAAGTGAAATTATTCTTAAATGAGTGTAATTTCATTCGTAAATGAGTGTAACTTCCCAAAACACAACTTTCCCCAAAATCTCCTAAACCTAGCCATTGCCTTGGACTTGGTCACCTCAAAGGTCTTTTCCAACCTCAACAGTTTTATGATTCCATGGTTCTACAATTTGTAAAGTACCAACCCTTCTGATTCCCGAAATGTAGCTTGTTTTTTAGCGGGTTTTCTCTGTTCCCCTTTCAGATTCCCTCTGAAGGATTCAAAGCGCTTGATTCAGTGGCTGAAAGCTGTTCAGAGAGACAACTGGACTCCCACCAAGTATTCCTTTCTCTGCAGCGAGCACTTCACCAAAGACAGTTTCTTCAAGCGGCTGGAAGACCATCACCGCTTGCTGAAGCCCACTGCTGTCCCCACCATCTTCCAGCTGGTGGAGAAGAAGCACGGCAAGCTGGATTATGTCAGGAGCAGAAGGAAAATAGCCAGGCAGGTGCTGGTGAAGGATGGGGAGGCCCCGCAGGAGGGAGGCGGTGAGGTAGCACACAGGTCTCCATCTTCTGGCCAGGACTTCATGGTGATGCAAGGGACGAAAGAGATGGAGGAGGCCACTCTGAAAGAGGAAATAGGATCCATGCCCAAGGAGGAGCAGGCCCTCCACAGTCAGCTGGACGGCCCTCGGAGAAGGACGTTAGGGGATCATTTGGGCACCAAGGCTGGGCTGCAGGTGAAGCCCGAGAGGTCTCCTGGCAAGGACTGTGCCAGGGGCAGCTGGGCAGGGAGCTGGGTGGCAGACAGGAGCGGCGTGTCCGTGGACGATTTCACCCCTCCAGCCTCCGGTGCCTGCAAGTTCATCGGCTCCCTGCACTCGTACAGCTTTTCCTCCAAGCACGCCAGGGAGAGGCCGTCTCTCCCCAAGGAGCAGCTAGAAAGGAAAAGGCCAAAGAGAGACGTGGAGCCCAGCTGCAGCAGCCAGCCCTTGGGGCACGACAAGGCCGTCACAGAAGCGTCGCCGACCTCATCCCTCACGGCCACCCCCCAGAAACCCTCGCAGGGTCTCTCAGCGTCCCCGGCCGACCTGACCCCTCGTCCCGCCGCCGAGGCCGTGCTGGGCCGCAAGGGGGACACGGACGCCAACCCCATGTCCATCAACGAGGTGATCATGTCGGCCTCGGGTGCCTGCAAGCTCATCGACTCCCTGCACTCGTACTGCTTCTCGTCGCGGCAGAGCAAGAGCCAGGTGTGCTGCCTGCGCGAGCAGGTGGAGAAGAAGAACGGCGAGCTGAAGCTCCTGAGGCAGAGGATCAGCCGCTCCGACAGCCAAGTCAGGAAGCTCAAGGAGAAGCTCAATGAGATGAAGCGCAACACTTTCCCTTACTTGAACAGCCTGATATCCCAGGACTGTGGTCAGTATTGCCAGGGGTGCTGCACTCAGGTGGAATTCCCTGCTTTCTTAAGTTGGGGGCTGTGAAAGGTGTGATGGGGAGAAGGAGAACTTCTCCTTCCTTCTCTGGGAAGGAGAAGTAGCAGCTTCTCTAACACCAATGGATACAGATTAAAAAATTCACTCAGTGGGCCCACAAGTTAATTCTTGCATCCCTGACCTTTCCAAGAAGTGGAATCAGCATTTAGATTGTGGTGTTACAGGCAACTCTGTTCATGAATTTATTTCCTTTTTCTTTCTGAATTATTTTAACTTATTTGTGATGCAGTGGCTCCTACTAGGATTTTCCTTCTTCCTTTGGCCATGCCTGTGATTTTTTTCTGGTGTGTTAATGAGCTGTCCTAGCAGCAGCTATCTGGGAAAGCTGTTACTGTCCTCAGTGGCATAAGAAATAGTTTTTGGTATTGGATTTCATATACTGCACTCAGTACTGAGGATACAGGAAATGCAAGTGAGGTGGGAGGTATCAAATATGACAATGTCATGAGGCACATTGAGGTCACAATTTGTGAGCAAATGTCTGATGCTTTCCTCCCTTGTAAGGCAGAAGAAGTCAGGAAACATAATAAAGCAGGGAGTGATGGAAGGTACTTCTCTATCAATTACAAAAATAATAATTAAGCACCATAAAGCATAGGGGAACTCAGTGAGGGATCAGGTCATGTAAAAAGTTTGTTACCTAGAAGTCAAATGAGGCCCTTCTTCAAAAAAAAAAGTGTCTTTTAATGTACAATGTGTCCACAGTGACTGTGGTTGCAAGGTGCATTTCAGGGCAGGAGTTTGGGACCATCTAATGGTGGTGTGTGTGTGGCTGATGAGAAAACTTTGGGTTGCCTTGGGAAGGATTTGTGATGTGGGGCTTGCTTGGAGAAGTTGTCACTTGTGGAGGGTTGGGTGTCTCCTGCTGGCTGATTCTCACCTTTCCTTTGGGAGAAACGCTCCATGGCTTTTTCTGGGGATGTTGGGAAGTCAGAAAAGTGATGAACAGCATGTTGTAGCATGGCCAACTTCCTCACTGGAAGAAGAAAGTAGACTCTAAAATTCATGAAGGTTGACACCCAGCACCGCTTTTCCCATGTGTATCTAATTTTTCACCATATGGGAAAACTCACACTTTTATTTGGGTGGAGAGGGGAAAAGTTTTGCCCTGGGAAATCAGCATAGTCTTGTTTGTACCTTCTGGTCTGTGTTTTTGTATTGTTTAGGTGTCAAACTAAAGAAAATAACTAAATATCATTTAAAATATCATAGTTCTCATTCATATATATACATATATTTATGTATATATATGAAGTATGTATTTATACATATATTTAAAAGGGTGTCTGCCTTTGTTGGAATACCTTCACTGAGATACTAATTGCAGAAAGAGTATCTTTAAAGATTTTTTTTTTAATTCTGGTAAGCACTATGATTTTTCTCCTTTTTCCCAAGATTAGTGTTTTTATAGATACATCTTTAAGAAGTGAAAATTTTATGTTCTTGTAAAGATATTCTTAATATATGAGCTACATGCTCTATTTTATAAGGGAAAACGTAGTTTCCTTAATGAATTGACCAATTCATTACCCATTCTGTCATCTTTTATCAACAAAATAGAGATCAGTGTGTGAAAATTAACCATTTTGGCAGTTGTAGCTTGGCAGGATGGGAAGTTTAGATGGAACCCTTTGGATGGGAACTTTTTTGATGGGTTGGTTGGTGACTGACTGGCTTTTTCAAATTTTTTTTAGCTTCATCTTGGTGTTTTTCTGTTTTGGACTCTCTTTTTGTGTGCTTGTAGTACTGGTTTATGGCAGTGAAAACAGCTGATGAGGTGCAGCCAGATGAGTCTGGTTCATGCCCAGACATTGAGTTTTGCTGTAATACAAAGCTGAGTTCAGAAAGGCTTTTCATATTCATAAAAATACATCAGGTAACACATTAGGTTAATAATAGTCTTTGTTAGCAGCCCTGTCTCAGTTGTCCCAGCTCATCTGATGTGTGGTTGAGGTGATGGCTTCAGCTGTGAACCTGAGCCTGCATATATTTTTCTGCTGAAGGCAGTTCCTTGTGTGTAAGTACCAGCCTGGGCTGACCATGCAGGTTGTTACCTGTCTGCATCCCTCACCTTCAGCTGCTCCCACAAAATCCTGAGCACAAAACACCAACTTTAGGCCCACACCCACTCAGCAGGACTTCATTTCAGTGCTAGCTCTCACATATTTTCCTCTAATGAGACCAATAAATTTCTGCTGGCTGTCTCCAAGCTGCAGCAGGCTGGGAAGAGCAGGTTTGTGCAGCCCAGCACTGCCTGCCAGCCACACTTGGGGCTGGGTGACTCAGGGTGCCCAAGTGGCTCCAACTCCAGCTGTCACCATGTGCTTGAGGGCTGTTTCCCAACCTGTCTCACCCTGGTGTAGGAGAACCCCCAGGCTGTCTACAGCACAGCTGAAATAGTGGCCTTTTCCATCTAAACTTTTTGAATTTAGGTGTTTGTTTGTTTGGTAGGAAAATATTTCCTTCTGCTTCATGAGGTCCATGGAGGCTGAGGAATGCTGTTGGTGGATGAGTGTGGTTAGGCACAGTGTACCAGGCAGGACAGGGTGACATGTGGCTTCTGGAGGATCACAGGATGCTCTGGGAGAAATGAGGGAGAGCCAACAAACCACCAGAGATGTGTCCTGGAGAAGTCCTGGGTGTCCTGACAGCACTGCCTGACCATCTTCTTCTGCATGAAGGTTTCACAGCTCTGCTGTGCTCACTCAGACAGGAGATCCCAGCAGCTCCTTCCACAGCACCACCTCCCCCTGCCGTGCCCCAGGATGGTCTGCTTGCAAAACTACATCTCCCAGCAGGCAGCAGGATCAGTGTTTTACCCAAACATGAGCTCACTTCCCTCTTGGCCATCTTGGCGCCCTGCACAGAGAGCTTTCTGGGCCAGGGGGGGCTGCAGGTACAGCAAATTGCAAAATATCTGCAAACATGGCTGGGCATGGAGCAGACACAGGTAGGATTCCATGGGGTTTGAGTTTCTGGGTTCATCAGAGAGGTAAAACTTAGAATTCAGCTGTTTGGGGGTATGAGGAGCCTCTTCAGTGCTGCATGTGTGTTTTCATGAAGGTCATATTAAAGGCAGGAGAGTTTGCAAAATGAGTTCGTGTGAAAAACGGTGAGAACTTTACTAGGAATCCATGTGAAATCTTGCTTGGATTTGTCTTTGACTATCTGTGCAAAGCCAGTCTAGAAATGGGGTCATTTACAGTTTTACGTGCAAATGAGGCATAGTTGGCAAACTTTGGGCAAGCAGAAGGACAGAGCACTTAATGCATGGTTTTGTGCTGAGGTGGAGTCCTGAGACCTGGCCTGTGGGGTGTGAAGTGGTGGAAACAGATTTCATTCATGCTGCAGAAAAGGAAAAGCAAAATCCCATTCCTGACTGGCAATGAAAAATAGGATTGTGCATGGTTGGAGGTGCTGTGCTTCACTTGAGAAGGATTGGTGTCCAGCTCAGCTTGAAACTGAATTGTGTCTGAGGGGTCACAGAGATGTTCTGTCAGGAAAATTGCCTCCAGGAGGCAGTTGCATGTTAACTTGGAGCTAGATTTGAGAGAAAACTGCTTTTTTTCTGAGCCAGCAGGTGCTGCTTGTGATTTTATTTTTGTGCCCTGTCTGGGCTGGGGTAGAAAACTGGTTTGTGAGGTGAGCATTGCAAAGAACAAGAGAGCCATAAAGTAAACTGAGAGTGAGATAAGGAGTAGAAATATGTGTGCACAGGGGCTGAATCCATGGCAGGAGGTATCTTGAGAGATTTCACTTGGGTGGGAGGTGAACTGTTTTGTGCTCAGCACAGTGCAGGCACACCAACTTTGGGACTTGGCCACCTCCCTCAACCCTTTGACCTCCCCCTTGGAGAGAAAGTTGGTTGGAAGGGAGGAAACAAGACTTTTTGCACTGCTGTTGGTTTAGGTTTTTTCAGTGGGATGGTCTTGTTCTTTCCATTTTTTTTTTTTTTTTTTGCCTAATAGTCTATAGAGTTTGTGCATTAAGCATTTAATTTTGCAGTGAGTTGGCAATGACTCACAACAAAAACCCAGCTTGCAGCTAGGAAGCAATGAAACAGCAAACTAAGGAAAACTTGAGAGAAAGTCAGGCTGAGCTCAGGTAGGGTGTTTGGTTTCTCATGATAGAGTAGAATTTAAAAAATATTTTCTCTGTGTTATGTAAAGCAGAACTTTGGCAATGCCTACAGGCACTGGAGCATCACCACCTTGGAACTTGGCTATGAAATGAATTAGTGAGTGTGAATATAATGCCATTTCCAGCTTTTGGAGCAGAGATGGGATGATCTGTACAACAGCTGGCACCTGGTGGGATGCATCTTTCTTGGGGGAGAAAGTTCTAGCACAGGAGCTGGGAGAGCTTGTTGATAGGGCCTTAAACTAGCCTGGAAAGGGGAAAGGGACAAAACCAGGGTCACCAGGGAAGAGCAGTGGGCTGGAGTGCCTAAACTTGATGAAAGGAGCACCAATGGGATCCCTCAATTTGCTTCACCAGGTGCAGGTCACAGTGCACCACACCAGAAATGTCTCTGCATTAATGCACCCAGCAGGAGGGACCAGTGAGGAGTTTTGGCCCAGTCTCAGAGATCTGGCATCACTGAAACCTGGTGGGAGTGTTCCCTGTGACTGGAGTGCCCTGAGGGACAGTTCCAGGCTCCTCAGGAGGGACACAGGGGTGGCACTGTGTGTGACAGAAGGGTTAGAGTGTCAGGGGCTCACAGTTGGCACAGTTGAGAACCTTTGGATAAGAATCAAAGGGCAAACAAATAATGCAATTTCACTGTGGGAGTCTGCTCTGGACCTCCCAGCCAGGATGATGACACTGACAAATTATTCCTTGAGGAATTAAGGGATGATTCCAAGTCAGCTGCCCTAGGGGACTTCAGCCTGGCAGGAATTAACTGGGAGCATCCCACAGCTGGTACAGCCTGGGCCAGGAGGCTCCTAAAACACCTGCATGACAACTTTATGGAACAGGTCCTCAGGGAGCTGATTTGGAAGATGATCTTGATCTCCTGCTTGTCATCAGAGAGGATCTCATGAGCAAAGTGAACTTTGAGACCACAGAGCCATCACTAAACCTCTGGTGACAGGAGGAAAAGTGCCTGAAAAACCTCAACTCTGGCCATGAAACCTCAGGCTGCTCAGGGAATTAGTGAGTAAGGTCCCCTGGGAAATGTTTTTGCAGGTGCTGGGGTCAATGCTGTACACTTCTAAACATTTCCTAAGGGCACAGGAACAGCAATTCCTAAATGTCAGAAGGCAAGCAGGTGAGGCAGAAGGCTTGGCTGGCCAGGGATTTCTCTTGGAAATCAGATGGAATGATGGAAGATGGTCAGTGGAAGCAAAGTCAGGTGATGTGTGAAGAACACAGAGATGTTGCTCCCCACTGTATGAAAATTCATACAGGAAAAGCTCAATTGGAGTCAAAGCTGCCAAAACTGCAGAGAAAATTTTTTTTTTCAAATATATAAATGGCAAAATGGCAGTTTAGAAATAACATTGCCCCATTGCCGGATGAGGGTGGTCACCTCACAAACAGGGACAAGGACAAGGCAAAGGTGTTCAATGCTTTCTTTTAAACCCAGTTAGCAACTGTGCTGAAGGAAGAATTTCAGGGAATTGCCCAGTTGATGCTGCAGACCCCTCACTTAGAAGACTCAGGGATTTTGTTTTGGGGATTTTTGGTGAGTTTTTTATTGTTGTTGTTGTTGTTTGTATAATTTATTCCCTCAAGTTTTCTGTAGGAAGTGTTCCCCAGCTCAAGGAAATGGGTTGGCTGCCTTGTTAGCAACCAGCTGGCCCCTCACTGATAAAGCTGTGTAGAATTTGTGCCAGCTTAGCTTTCTGTGCCAGGGATCCCACTCAAAAGCAGGGAGAACTCAGCATCTCCTGGTGCAAAGCCTGGACAGCCAGTTCCAGTGCAGGGTGGGATTTGGCTTGGAAACTTTCTGGGGATGGAAAAGATGTAGGAACAGTCTGTCTGTGAGTTTGGAGGGGGACCTTAAAGCTCATCTTGTTCCAACCCCCTGCCTTGGGCAGGGACACCTTCCACCTCACCAGGTTGTAGAGGAATGGGGTCTTGGAGATGCTGGGTCCCTAATGGCTTCCAGGAGGTGCAGAAGGTGACTCCAGGAATGTTTTTGTAAAGAAAGAGGATGCAGAGAGAGCTTCCCTGTTAGAAGGCAAAAGAGGAGCTGTGCTTATGAATGCAAGAGAATCTGCATTTAAGAGCACCCCCTCTGAGTGTGAAGCTTTAAGTGTGCAGAAGGGTGACCAGCGTCTCTTGTGCTGCAAATTCTCAGATGTCATTTGCATTCTTGATACTATCATACACTTACCTGTTAAGCCACATTAGTAGGTGTTTTGTAAAAATGATGTGCCAGGAGTTTAGACCTTTAAAAAGGGATATAGAGGCTCCTTCATCAGTGTCTTGACAGTGACTGTATCTATAAACCTGAAATTTGAAACAAAGCAGCTCAGCATAGAACTTCTTGTTGCTACAGTAGTCTTGCATTTCCCTGCCCCAACCAGGACATAAAAAAGCAAATTGCTTTTCAAATATCTGTGGGTTTTGTTTTTTGGTTTTTTTTTTCTGGTGAATTCAATCAGACTCTCTCCTCTCTGCTTCCCCTCTTGCTTTTCCACTCTTCCAGCCAGGAAGGAAAAAATTCTTAGTGCACTAGTCAGAGCCCAACACTGAAGGTAAGAAGAGCATGAGATGAGATCAGGATGTCTGCACCCACCACACTTCACTGAGCCCCTGGTCCTTACTCACTTCTGCTGCTCTTGACCTTTCCAAGCCACATGAGAATTAAAGAGCTCTTCAGTTTTGCTGCCATCTAGGTAGTTTAGAAAAGTAATAATGATCATTTGGCTGTGCTGTTTGCCCAAGTGCCAGAGACTTCAGGCTGTACAGTTCCATCTTCACTTTTCAGCTGGCTGCAATTCCAGCCCTTTGGAAGTGAGACCAGCTCAGGCACCTGCAGCCAGGCTGCGTGCTGCACAGCAAGGCAGTGGGATGATGGAAATGGCTTCCCTTGGCTTCTCTTGGTTTATAATCAAGTCTAAAGAGTGGGAATGGCTACAGCCATTCCTTTCATCTGTTGGTTGGATGCTTTTCCTGAAGTGCAGGCAGCAGAAAGTGAAGTGCCCTATGAAAGCACTGTGGTGGCAGAAACTGTCCTGCTCCTGGCATGCTGACCCAGGAGAGGGCAGCAGCAGCCCAGGCTGCAGGCTCCTGCAGCTTTTCCAAAGCTTTGCTTCACTGTTCTGTTGTGAGAGATGAGCCTGCAAAAAGCTTGAAAAGAAATGCAGCAGAGAGTGAAAGGCAGACATCAGCTGGAGGGAGGAGCAGTATGCTGCTTGTCCACAGAGCTGTGTTCCCCTCATGGAACTGCAAAGGTGAGGACAAGGAGATACTGTGCAGTAACTGACACTGCTCTCAGGTTGTGGGAACCCCTTTCCAAGTCCTGGGCAAGCTGCACAGTCTGACAGGGTGTTCTACAGATCCTGGCTCTGATGCTGTAGACCTTTATCACTGATTTCCTAGTGAGCTCTCCTGTTTCCTCATGTTGCTTCCCTTGCAAAATACTTCAGGACAGAGCAAAGCAAGTAGCAGCACTTTGCTGACATGGGCTGGCTTTTCACACCTGCTGTCTGTGGGAGAATGGGTACCACAAGTGGTCTCTTTTACCCAGGAAAGCTGCTCTTCCTTCTCCTCTGGCATTTCAGGTGTGGACTGTCCTTCCTCCTTGCTCAATCTTTTAGCCTGACATTTCATAAAGAGCACAGCAAAACTCAGACTGGTCAAGCAAATTTTGGCCACAGCTTTACTCTTAGGTTGTGATTTCTGCCTGCAGTTGAGTCTGTGCCCTTTAGATCAGCCAGGCAGCTTGTTCTTGTATTCTTGATCTCTAGGAGTGGAAAACACACTCCTGCAGCACCCACCTTGCCAGGATGAAATATTTATGCCATGAGGGGGAAGAGGCCATGCTTTAAGCTTACTTCAGTCATATTTCTCTGCATAACAGACTCTTGAGAGTAGCAGGCACCCTGTTTGTGTGGGAATCCATCTTTCCCAACATCCTGTGGGTGATGTTTTGCTTTCCCTACTTACCCCTTAGTAATGCATCTGCTCTGCTCTTCACGTGGCTTTAAATTGTCTGTCTCCATTTTCCTGATGTATTTTTTTTCAGGTCACAGCCTGAAGTAAAATGCAAAACAGTTCTGAAAGTAAAATGCAAAACTGTTTCTCAAAACTCTCGTACAGCACCAAGGCTGACAGAGTTGAAGAAGCATTTGGACAATGCTCTCAGGCACATGGTGTGACTCTTTGGCATGGTCTTGTGCAGGGCTAGGATTTGGACTTGGTGATCCTTGTGGGTTCCTTCCAGCTCAGCTTATTCTGTGGTTCTGTAAAATGATTGCTTAAAGAAGTTTAAACTTTGTGAAACAGGCCTTGGTTGCTTTTTCATAACTGCAGTGACAAAGGGAAGTATCTTTCTGTTCTGTTTACTCTTTGCCTTACAGGCACCCAGGTATTTTTAAGATGTTTGCCTTAGTCCAGAGCCTTAGAGCAGCTTCTGAATGATCCTTCCTTTTCTCTTTATACAAGTTCAGGCCATTGTTAACCTCTTAAAAAAATATTATAGCCAAACTTTGATCTTGAATATGCACACAGCCTGATTTTCTTTTGAAATGAGGACTCATTTCCTGAGCCTCTGAAACAAACAGAACAGTGTGTGCTCAGTGCTTGAGAGAGATTAGCCCAGAGTGTTAGAGGCTTCATTATCATTTAATGATTATTCTTTGTGCTGAGCTTTCAGTCATCTTCTTCCCTGCATGTGGATGGGAGTGGGATTTTCTTTCAGATCAAGCTACAGAGAGGAGTCAGAAATGGAGCACCTGCAAGAGTGCTCTCTGTATGGAAACAGACCCACTTTCCTTGACTCCCCCTTGGAGCTGGCACTGCTGTGAGCAAAAGCATTTCTGTGATGTTCAGCCATTTCTGAGGTGTTCTGTGTTCACCTCCAGCCAGCTCACAGCAACCTGCAGAGCACAGATCCTTGAGTTTTCATTCTTCCCTCTTTCTTGTGCTCCACAGAGACTCCCCAGCTGAACCCTGTGATGGAACCCCTGTCCTGGATGCTGGGCACCTGGCTCTCAGACCCACCAGGAGATGGCACCTTCCCTACAATGAAACCCTTCCAGTACCTGGAGGAAGTGCACATCTCTCACGTGGGACAGCCCATGCTCAACTTCTCGTAAGTCAGGGGATCTGCCAGGCTTGGCAGCAGCTCCTGGATTGGAGCAGCCGTGGATTTGTTGGTTGGGTTTCTTTTCCAGTGGCAAAGAACAGAAATTTTCACTTTAATTCACCAAAGTACATAAATTTCCACCTCATTTTCAAAACAAGATGATGCTGTGGTGTGTGACTGCATGGTCTAACTTTGATTTTCCTTGAAAATTTGTGATTAATTAGCATTACAAATGCCAACTACAGTGGCCCATGAAGGATAATTTTAGATGCTTAGCTTTAAGGCATTTGCAACATTGTGTGGCAAAAGCTGATCGGCCAAGAAATGCTTATAATATATTGTAATTAAGAAACAGCTTCTGATTGAGCTAGCATGAGTTATAACATCTGTATTGTCTCACCCTTCACATGAAACTGAAAATGGAATAAAAATTTTTAAAACACCTCTCAGTTGCCCCATCTCTGAGTCAGAAGAGAGCATAATGTGACAAAAACTTTTGATTAATTGGCGTTCTTTGTGAAATTCCCACTTAGAATAAATGAAGGAGCATGGTTATCAGATGTCTCCATTTTATGCTGTGGTCCTCAGTCTTCACCACTGTGAAAATCTGAGAAAAATTAGTGCTTATCAAACCACGTGTGACAGAAGCCAGGTAGCTTAACTACTTGTTTGGGCTTCAAGGGGTTGTTCTAAGAAAAATCAAAAGGAATCCAGAGGGAGGGAAGTGACAAGTTGGCTACTGCTCAGTAGTGCTCCAGTGTTCCTTCAGCAGGGGTGAGTTGGAAAGTGTGTTGCTTTGAAAACCAAGAAAAGAAGAATTATAAGATGGAAGTGCTGTGTGAGGGATGCCCTGTGTTCCTGGAGTGTGCTGGAGCTGCCAGCTCAGCCTGGGACTGCTTTCCAATTTCCAAAAGAAACAAAGCTCTGACAGTCTTGCTCTGGCTGCACCTCCCTCCCCAGCTTGTGAACAGTTTGAATCACCTTTTTTTTTTTGCCCCTCCTTTTCTTTGTGCCAAGGAGTTACACAGCTCTGAGCTGTTGAGCTTTAGGAAGCACCAGGAAAATAGGCAGGACAGTCCCTGTGTCCCTTAAATGCTCCAAGCACTGAAAACTGCCTGATTTAAGTTTGTTTTTCCTGTGAAAAGTATAATCACCCATGTTATGGATGACCTAACCTACAGTGCTTAAGGCCTCCTGAAGAATAAGAGTCTGAGCTGAATTTGTTATCTTTTTGAAGGGGGTGATGGGAGAAATATGTCTGCTCTGTTGCTTCCTACAGCAAGGAACACACAGACAAAACAACTTCTCCAGGTGTAACAGCTAAATAAAGATGATACAGTAATTCCAGATATTTATTTGAGGAAAGGAAGTTTTTGAGACACACGTGGCTTCAGCATCTGTGAAACATCTGAGTTCCTGAGGGGTTTCTGAGCTAGTTCTTAGACCTGGGGGACGTGGATAGTCCAAAGCTTGAACTTGAACTTAAGGACTTAAGTCTTTAAGTTGACTTAAAGACTTAAACTTCAAGACTTACAGACTTGACCTTACAGGCTTGAACTTACAGGCTTGAACTTACTTACAGACTCAACTCCAGCTCTAAGAAATAGCTGTGCCTCTGTAAAGTCACCGTATTTCTCCAGGTTTTCATCTCTCAACTGTGAAGTGTTGTCAGTCTTTTACTCTTCCAGGAATACTGCAGGCACTCATGGGGTTAAATAAGAGGAAACCAGGCCAAAAAGTGTCTTTTGAATGCAAAACACATGAGATTTGTGCTCTGGTTTGCCCTCAGGTTCAACGCCTTCCACCCGGACACCAGGAAGCCCATGCACCGGGAGTGCGGCTTCATCCGCCTCAAACCCGACACTAACAAGGTGGCCTTCATCAGTGCCCAGAACACAGGTACACTCCTCATACCCACACTGGGGAAAAGTAGAGGTTCTTACCCTGCTGGGCCATTTCATCACTTTTTCAGACAGTTCTTGCACCTCTCACAGTTTTACTTTATTAAATTTTTCTGTCGGAATCGCTGCTTTTTGGTGCTGGACCCACAGTGGTTCCTAAACTAGGAGAGCCTCCCAGTGTGTGGGTGCAGCACGTTGGTGCTTCTTTCCTGATGGGGGCTGCATGAGAGAGAACCAAGTCACAGACACATTTTATGAAAAATCCTTTCATTAGGATTTTTTCTCCTGAGAAGCTGAGAGGCCTCAGGAACAAAATGCAAACAATGATTATCTGCTGCTGTGGAATGCAACAGGTGCATCTGTGATTGGTTGTTTTTATTTAATGGCCAATCACAGTCCAGCTGTCTCAGATTCTGGTCAGTCACAAGATTTTATTATCATTCCATTCCTTTCTATTGCTTGCAACCTTCTGATGAAATCCTTTCTTCTATTCTTTTAGTATAGTTTTAGTGTATAATTTTCTTTTAATATAATATATATAATAAAATAATAAATCAATCTTCTGAAACATGGAGTCAAGATTCTCATCTCTCTCATTCATCTGATGCTGAAGTTTGCATCTAAATTGACAGGTGCTGAAGGGAGGAGTGCCTGTTGTGCTGTGACACTCATCCTACACAGTGTGAATAAGTCCAGCTTTCCTTGTCTGAGGTTGTGTGGATCTGCAGTTGTCAATAAATAAAATTAATTAGGGCAAATAAAACCATTCTCCACAGGGAGGGCTGGTCTGTTAAGCAGCCTAATAGAGCATGGAATGGTTTGGGTTGGAAGGAACCTTAAATCTCATTGCACCTCCCTGCCATGGTCAGGGACACCTTCCACCAGACCAGGTTATTCCAAGCCCTGTCTGACCAGACTTTGAACATTTCCAGGGATGGGGCAGCCACAGCTTCTCTGGCCTCACCACCCTCACAGGGAAGAATTTCTTCCTAATATCTAACCTAAATTTCTTCTCTTACAGATTAAAAACTTTTTCCCTGTCCTGTCCTTATCTGAATGCATAAAAAATCCCTCTTCCTCTTTTTTATAAGCTTCCTCTTAAGTACTGAAAGGTCAAAATAACAATTGTGACATGCCTAAATATCCTTTGTAGCCTAATAATATGTGTGCCCTTGCTTTTCCCTAGGTCTGGTGGAGGTGGAGGAAGGGGAGGTGAATGGACAAGAGCTGTCTATAGCTTCTCACTCCATAGCCAGGATCTCCTTTGCCAAGAAGCCCCATGTAGAGCAGGTGAGTGCCCACAGAATGAGCCATTCCCATAGCACTGCTTGCCTCAGGAGGAGTCTGGTTGAGAGGACATGTTATTTAGCATGTTTAATTACAGAATGCCATCAGAGGTTCTTGGAAATACTGCCTGGCATCCTGGCTTATTTCTGTAAGTGCCTTCAGAAGAGATTTTGTACATTATGAGACCCAGAGGGATCATTATGATAAAAACTGACAGGCTGGATGAGACCAGCTAACCCAGAATCCTGTCTCCAGAATGGCCAGTAGCAGGTCCTTAGGGAAGAAAAGAGCAAAGTCTTGGCTAAATACTATTTTATGGCAGTGGTATTACTTATTAATGCTGGTTTTCTGGGTTGATTGCAGTATGAGGATGCAATTTAAGGTATGGTCAGTACTGAGCCTCATGAGGATGTTTCAGTAACACCTGCAGCTCTTGCTCTGTGCTTTTCAGAGCACTCAGACCTTGCTCTGGGCTCTTTTCCCACCTGTGGCTGCAGGGTGGGGCTGGCTCTTGCTGTCAGCTCCACCTTTGGTTGGCTGCTTTTGGGGGTTTGACTTTTGGGGTGTGCATTGGGGGTCTGTTGATACAGCTGGAGGGGTACAGCCAGCTGTGAGTGCAGTGGCACTGCTGGAGTCAGTGTGGCATCCTGAGGTGGATGCTGTGGTGGCTGAGCAACAGCTGAGAGGCAAGCTCTCATAGCCTGGTTTTTGTGTGCTATAAAACTGACCCTTAGACAGCAGAGAGCACAAGTTTGTGCAGATGTAGACAAAAATTTGATTTGCCTACACAGATAGTGTCCTGATTTTGGGAAGTCCCATCTCCCCTGCCTTTGGGTGCATGTTTTCATGTTTCCTCTTTCCCAGGAACAGCTGTAGTGCCTCCTTCCCATAGCAGAAGTAAATTAGATCCTGTGGGTGTCAGCAGGGAGGCAGAGCTCTGGATTGCAAACATTTAAATTAAAGGGACTGTCCTCTGAGTTGCTGCCTGAGCTGTGGGCAGATAGACTGGCAGGAGGAGAGGGCAAAGCACAGAATGCCAGCAGATGTATTCCTAGCTGAGGGCTCCAAGGCTGGCCTTGGCTGGAAGAAGGAAGGAAGCTCTGGGGCTGGAGGTCTGTGCCCATCTGGCACCTGTGGGAAGCTCAGGCCCAAGGACTGGTCCTAGTGAGTGTCTGGGTGTGGAATGAGAGGGGTTGTCAGGAAACCCCAGAGTCTTTTCTCCTTCACCAAGAACAGCTTAAATTACCTGTGGAAACAAAGAGGCCACAGGTTTGTGAGAAGGATGTGTGCTGCTGCTGGAGTTGCTCATTTTGAGAAAACTTCACCATATTGTTGCATTCCTGGTGAAAAGTGATTCAGGGTGGCTGTGGCTGGGCTGAGCTGTCACTGAGGGAGGAAGGGTCATTTCCTGCACCAGGCTGTGTCATGAGTAGTTTAGATTGCTTGAAGAATCACTTTTAAAGTGTTATCAATGCAGATTTAATACAAATTTGTGAAAGCACAGCTTAACAGAATTTAATGGCAAGATTCCCTCTGTTGGTACTTGTGGATGAGGAGGGGCAAGGACAACCTCCATTCTTTGTTGGATGCAGGGGGGATATGCAGGAGAACAGGCTCAGGGGAGGCCTCATCACTCTCTGCAACTCCCTGAAAGGAGGTTATAGCCAGGTAGGGGTTGTTCTCCTCCCAGACAACCACTGACAGGGCAAGAGGACACAGGCTTGAGCTGCACCAGGGGAAGTTTAGGCTGGACATTAGGAATAAGCTGTTCACAGAAGGTGTGATTGAGCATTGGAAGGGGCTGCCCAGGGAGGTGATGCAGTCGCTGTCCCTGGAGGTGTTTAAGAAAAGCCTGGATGTGGCACTCAGTGCCATGGTTTAGTTAGTAACATGGAATTAGGTCATAGGCTGGACTTGATGGCCTCAAAGGTCTTTTTCAACTCAGTTAGTTTTGTGAACATGCCTTGTTCCATGGGTAATGGGCTTGGAGCTGCTGTTGTGGAGAGGGCTGCTTTCTTTAGGAGACAAACCTCCTTGTTTATTTGCCTGCTGTAGTGAGGATATCCTTCAGCAGGCAGGTGGATGGCAAAGGGAACAAAGCCCAGGTAAGGCATTCACCTTGTGGACACTCTCTGTTTGATTTCCTTATTTCTTTTCCTCCCCCCTGGTTTAGATTACCAGAAAATTCAGGCTCAATTCCGATGGGAAACTCGAACAAACTGTCTCAATGGCAACCACTACGCAGCCCATGACTCAGCACTTACACATCACCTACAAGAAGGTGACACCCTGACACCAGGAGTGCTGGGACACCTCCCTGAGGGCAAGGAGCAAGGACATCATGCACCAAGAGCAGCAGCAGCTCAGGAGCACAGCATGGCAGACCCCAGAGCTGGCTGCCTGTGCTCATCCCTTGGGCCCCAGAGCTGCCTGTCCTGTTGAGAATGTTACTCAGATGTTTCTGTAATGGTATATAAAAAAATAAATAAAAAGCTTTTATTTTTATGGCTGTGTCTTTGGTGTGACTGCAAGGTAGTGCTCATGGAGGGGCTTTGTGCTGCCTGTTCATCAGTAGGTGTTGGGGTGGAGATCCAGCCTCCTGGACAGCCTGGAGAATTCTGGGGAAGCCACAGGTTCTGGAATGGGTTTGTCACTGCAGGGAAAGACTCTGAGAACTGCAGAGCCTGTCCAATGGAACTTGGCTTGAATATCACGAGGGAGCACCTACACCTTGCTCTGGGAGTTTGTCTAGCAGTTTGAGGGGAATTGCTGCAGTGTGGGAGGTCAGGGCCAGACTTCAGTGCAGAATATCCCAAGAGTTTGGGGGACAACTGTGAGCCAACAAGCAAGAGAAACTGCTAACACTGGGGCTCCATCTCCAACTCTAAATTTCCAGCTCTGGAATCAGGATGCAGCCATTGTGAGACCTGTCATCAAATCCCTCAAAAATGAGGGAGGCAGAACACTTTGATCACTGCTGGCCTACAGCAGGGCTCTTCAGCAGAGGCTTGGACCAGAGGAGGTCCCTGGCCCCCTCAGTCACTCTGGGAGTGTGACAGTGGCACAGCCCCAGCCCAGCAGAGACCGCCTGGAAGGGATCTGGGCACACACTGAGGTGTGCAGCCCACTGCCAGGTGGGCTTTGTGCCACAGGATCTGTCTCTGTGGATGGGGGAGCTCCTGGGTGTGTCCCTGAGAACCCTGTGATGTCACCAGAGACAGGATCACTCACCTGCAGTGGGTAACCATAAACAAACTGTAACCCCCAGCGCTGGGCAGTGCCAGAGCACTCGGGCTGTGACCCACAGCAGCCGAGGAGCTTCTGAGTGCTCTCAGTGACTGAGGAGCTTCTGAGTGCCCCAAGTGGAAGCCAAGCCTTCGAGTCCTGCCAGCGGCTGAGAGCAATCGAGCCCGGGAGCAGCAATGGCAGAGGTCAGGGAGGAGCCCCCCGCGCCCCGAGCCGTGCGGGTGTGCCGCATCTGCGTGGATTTCCTGCAGAGCCCCGCTGCTGCCGTGGAGCCCTGCGGACACGTGTTCTGCCACGCCTGCATCCAGCCCCAGGCCGGGCCCGACGCCGCCGCCACCTGCCCGACCTGCCAAGGGCCCATCGGGGGCATCCGCGTGCTGCAGGGCCAGGAGAGCCGGGCCGGGCTGGCCCCGCGCCGGCCCCGCCGCCGCCTCCATCCCTTCGTGGTGCGCTGGCGCCAGCGGCAGCAGCGGCAGCAGCAGCAGAACCAGAACCAGCAGCAGAACCAGCAGCAGCAGCAGAACCAGCAGGAGTAGGCAGCTCCCGGAGGTGGCCCGCACTGCACGTTCTCCCATGGGGACAGGGCACCGAGCCCCCCCGGGCTCCAGCAGCATTCCCAGAGAGTGTCGGAGGAGCTGGGCAGAAACAGCCAGGGCAGGCCTGGCCTCGGGACCACGTGCACCTCCTCCCCTTGATCCCTTTTGATGTGGATCCTCCCTGGCCCCTCTGAAATGAAAACCAGCATGCTGACAAGGGCCTCGCCTGGTTTCTTCTGCTCCTTTGCTCATTAGTGCAGGACTGGGGCAGTGGGAGCTGTGGGAGAGGGAAGGATATGGATGTGGGAACTTGGGGAGAGGGTGGGATAAGGCTGAAGAACTGGTGGAGAGGGAATAATGTGGATGTTGAAAATGGAGGAGAGGAGCCATTCCTGGTTGCTCCTGTGCTGCTTTCCTTATTCCTGGGGGATGCAGCCCAGCAAGAGAAGAGGAAGGGGAGAGCCCACTGGATCGCTCAGCAGATTCCTAAGAGAATACTGTCTGCTCTTCCTGAGGGCCAGGGTGAGGATAGAGACTGAGATGGAGATTGGGGCAGACCCTCCTCTCCTTGCCCCACAACAGCTGGAGGAGGCAGCCCTGGCACAGCCACCAGCTGCAGGGCACTGCCTGTGGGAGAAGGGACAGCCAGGACTGACCTGTTCAGGGCATCTCCTCTGAAGAATCCCAAGGCCCTTCCCCATCTAGGGCATCACCAGGAGCTGTGTGGTGGCTGTGCATCCTCATCGTCACCCTGCTCCATCCCCTTCCATGGCCCAGGTGGCTGCAGAACTCCTGGCATTAGAACTGAGCTTCTGCCCACAGCTCCCTGCTGCCTTGGCAGACCTTGTTTCCCAGGAATAGCCTTCAAACATGGGTTTCAACAGTGCTGGGGGCTGTGTCTGCCTCAGCCAGGGCAGCCAAGCATGGGGTGAGGCTTCTCAGGCTGACCACAGCCTCGTACCTTCTGCCCTGGAGATGGATGGAAATCTGGAGGTGTAGGTGGGAAAATCCTGGCAAGCAGGAGGTGGCTCTTTGGTACTTCCCAGCACCCTCCTGGTGGAGGCCCCAGGCTGTCTGTAAGAGATCCCTTGGAAGGAGACATCCTTCATGGGAGCTGCTCAGACACAGGGATCCAAATGATGTCTTTGGGGCATGGAGCAAAGAGGCAGGAGGGATTATCTCTCCCTGGCAGACCAGGCATGTGTCAGGACATCAGAATGGCTTCACCCCTGAGGAGAGGGGAAGGGCATGGACACCCTGAGGTCCATGCACTACAGAGAGGTTCCCCCTTGGGAACACAGCAGTGCCAAGGCAGCACCATGATGGCTTCTGGGGGAATGGAGAGGGGTCATGGCAGAGAGAGGCTTGGAGTGAGAGGCTGATCCCAGCTCCAAAAATCCCCATGAAGCTCCATGAAGCTGATCCCAGCTCTGCTGTGCCTTGGCAGGAAAGAGCATCCTGGATCCCAAACATTCCTATGGCTGAATGTGACCTGGGGCAGGGGATGTGTGTGATGTGTGTGCAGGCACAGCCCCTGGAGCACAGCCAGCCCTCCATGCTCCCACTGCTGCAAATGGATGTTAACTTGCTGGGAATTGCTCTCAGCCTTGCTGGTTTCTAGCTGGGCTTTTAGGAGGAGCAGTGGGAACCACCCCAGAGCTGGCTCCAGGCGAGTCCCACCGGCCCATGGTGGTTTTGGCATGTGCAAAAATGAAATAAAAGCACTGTTCTCTGGGGAGCCAGCCAGCCCAGAGCGGATGAGCGCTCCCATTAATGTGTCATTAATGTGCAGCCCTGGCGTCGGCTCTCTTGGCACTCCAGAGGTAATTACAACCCAACTATAAAGCCTTGCACATGGATTTATTTACTGCCTTATTAGCAGCATCTGTTCTCCCACAGAAGTGGCTCAGCTGTTTGCTCTTGTTTGCTCAGGGGAAGCAGTGGAACTCACCTCCTTGGGCTGGGGAGTGAGCTGAGGGAGCTGAGCACACCACTGGGGTTCCATTTTCAGCTGAGGGAGCTGAGCACACCACTGTGGCTCCATTTTCAGCTGAGGGAGCTGAGCACACCATTGTGGTTCCATTTTCAGCTGAGAGAGATGAGCACACCACTGTGGCTCCATTTTCAGCTGAGGGAGATGAGCACACCATTGTGGTTCCATTCTCAGCTGAGGGAGGTGAGCACACCACTGTGGTTCCATTTTCACTAAGGGAGGTGAGCACACCACTGGGGTTCCGTTTTCAGCTGAGGGAGATGAGCACACCATTGTGGCTCCATTTTCACTAAGGGAGGTGAGGACACCACTGGGGTTCCATTTTCAGCTGAGGGAGGTGAGCACACCACTGGGGTTCCATTCTCACCCTGCTTGTTGGTTTAGTGCTTCTGCCCAGCACAGCATGAGGGGGGCACAGAGCTTCACCCCAAACCTGAAGGACGTGGCTGTGTTGGAGATCCAGCAGCATTTCTCTTCCCACCTGTCTCCTAGCACTGCCCCACAATGTTTTATCATCAGAGAATCACAGAATCATGAAATCATCAAGGTGGGAAAAGCCCTCTAAGGTCACTGAGTCCAACCATCAACCCAGCACTTCCACTCTGTTCACCACCAAACCATGTCCTCAAGTGCCACATCCACACATTTTTTTGAACACTTCCAGGGATGGTGCCTCCACCATTGCCCTAAGCAGCCCATTCAAATGCTTGGCAATCCTTTCAATGAGGAATTTTTCCTTGATATCCAGCTTAAACCTCCCCTTGTACAGCTTGAGGCCACTTCCTCTTGTCCTGTCCCTGTTCCCTGGGAGCAGAGCCTGATCTCCGCTGGCTGTCCCCTCCTGTCAGGAGTTGTGCAGAGCCACAAGGTCCCCCTTGAGCCTCCTTTTCTCCAGGATGAGCCCCTTTCCAGCTCCCTCAACCATTCCTTGCAAGGCTTGTGCTCCAGACCCTTCACATCTCTGTTTCCTTCTCTGGACATAGCTCTCTCCTCCAGCAGGAGCCATGGGATGAGTGGCCCTGGTTCTGTAGACCTTCAGCTCTCTCAGAGCTGCAGTTGCCTGGATTCCCAAGTGTTTTATTGTTGCTGCTGAGCCACAGCAGCCAAATCACTGCTGCAGCATCCACTGCCTTGGCTGCTGGCCTGGCCTGGCTCTGCTGCTGAGCACATTTCCCAAGGAAAACGGATGCTGGGTTTGTTAACTGAGTGTTGTGGCAAATGCAAGTTAAGTGGCTGCAAATCCACCAGAGAACCAGTTAATTCAGGGCACAGAGCATAATGAGAGAAGGAAAGCACCATCCAAAAGGCTTTTGTTGCCTGTGGTTCCTAAATAAAAATTCACATGTGGCCCATGCCAACCAAGGTGCCAGGTTGGGATGCAAAGCTTGGAATTACAAAGTGTAAATATTTATTCACGGGTGTGAGATGTCCCAGCCAAATCAGGCACCCAGGTGGGGTTTTTTTATGAGGTTCTTACATCCATCACATCCTCAGGTGCAGCACAAATTGACTGAGCACTGACACCCACACTAACAGATCTCAAATCACAGTAAAACTTGGCAAAGCTGCTGTTTCTGCTGGTCCATGGATCCAGGTGTCCTTGAGTCCCTCTGGCTGCAGTGACTGAGCTGTGACACCAGACCAGCCTGGGAGGGTCTCAGAGCCTGGGATGCTGTGGGACCTTGCTCATCCCAGGGATAAAGCTGTTGTTTATCCTTCAGGGACTGCACTCAGACTCCAAAAGCAAAATCCTTCTTTCCAGGGTTTGTTTTACTTCAGCATAAACAATACCAAAATCTTCAGTAAAGCTCCACTGCGTCTTTATATCGGTGTTTAATTACTATGTATAGTATATGTATACATAAAGTTAATATATTTTTGTACTATAAAAGGACTTTGACAGTTCAAAAAAGGATTTTTCATCACTTTTACCAAGCCTTTCACACACCTGGGCCTCCATCAGCACCACCAGGCTGCTGCTCCTTTCTGGCATCCATCCCCCAAGCAGCCCCTGCTCGTCATATCAGCTGTCAGAGAATGAAACAGTTCATGCCTCAAACATTGATATAGCTTTTTTTCCCATTATAACAAAAACTGTATGAAGAAGCTACAACCAAAGAAACCTCCCTGAAGATGCCTGACTGGGACTTTGGACTGAAAGCAAATTGCTGAGATTAGATAAGGGGAAAACCCTGTCACAGCACATGTCACAGTTGAGATGGCCACAATACACAGAGTGTCACCATCCATCCTCCCTTACACAGATTGCTGTGGAACCCCCAGCCCAGGGAATGCCACATCCACAGGACATTCATGTGAGAGGCAGCTGAGGTTAATTAATCCATTAATCCATCAAAGCCCCCCCCCACCCCCAGTCATTCCTGAAGCCTTCCACCACAGGACTGCACGGGATGCAACAAACCCAAAATCTGTGGTGAGAGACAATGGCAAACACCCCCCTGCCACCCTTCCCTTAGTGAATTACCTGGATTTTCCTACCTGGCCTGAGCGTATATTAAACCATTGAATTCTATGCTTTTTGGGGGGGACCTTCATCATCAAGAAGACTAGCAGGAGAGAATCAGCAGAACATCACTGAGATCCATGGAGTGCTGATATTTTCCTTATTCTGTCCCTCTTTCTGTCCCCCCTGTAGGAGTCTGTCCCACTCTGTAGGAGCATCAGGGGTAGCACGGTCAGGATGGATGGAGATGAGGGATCTCTGAAGCTAGGTCAGGAACTTGGGGTTTATTGCAAAGGGCCTGGGTGCAGGGCCCTGCTGGGATTTGGGGTTTATTGCAAAGGGCCTGGGGGCAGGGCCCTGCTGGGATGTGGGGTTTATTGCAAAGGGCCTGGGTGCAGGGCCCTGCTGGGAGCTGCCAGGCACAGCTCAGAGCAGGCCCGAGAGAAGAGAGGGGGAGAGAGGTGAGAGAGCAAAAGTGTAAGAGAGTAAAAGGGGAAAGAAAATGAGGTTCCTGTTACAATACCATAAATCTTCTTTTGTGTGGAATATTCTAAGTCTCAGTAACCAATTCTAGTACAATATACAAATCCTACAGCATTTACATACAGCCTATAAGGATCATTACATTACCATACTGTGCTACATTTTAAACCCTAAAAACTCCTCTTTGGGCCCCTTCTGCCAAGCTGTAGGGTCTGCTCTGGCCCTTGGAGCTATCTGCAAGCAGAGGGTGTTGTTTCATCAAAAGGGGATTACCTTCAGCTGGCCGCACCATTGTTTTCCAATTGTTTAGTAACTGAGGTATCTCAAACCTTGCTTTCATTTCAATCTTGCCTATAGTTTCTATATTCTCAAAATCTTTTGCCAGGCAATCATATTTATAAGGCTTTCCTGTTTCATCTTCCCCAACATCCCCCCACCTATTTCCTATTTCTTTCTTTCCCCCCCCTCTCTCCAGTGAATTTGATATTCACAGTCAAATAAACCCTATACCATTATCACTGGCCTATGTGACAGTGACATTTGCACCTTAATTCGGGCAGGGGCACTTCTGACATCCTCAATAACCCCATCCTGACGCCGAGGGTTTCGGGTGTGGATGCTGCCCTGCCCACCTGGGGCTGGGGGCATCGGGGCTCACTGCGGGCACTGCCAGGGTGACTCAGCCACTCCAGCAAGCTCGGGACCGCCTGGGCTCTGCAGCTCCGCGGCTCGGATCGCTCCTGCAGCCTGATTTGCTGGGAGGCTGCCAGCGGCTGCCGCCTCCTCCTCTCTGCAGGCAGCTCTGCCCCGCTCCCCGCTCATCACCGCTGCCTCTGGTGACAGAATGACCCGGCGGAGCGGGGGGACACGGGGCTGAATGGCTGCGAGGGCACGGAGCGGAGAGCCGGGGATGCGGCCCGGGGATGCGGCACGAAAGGTACGGGCAGCGCGGCAGGGTGTGCCGGGAGGGGCAGGAACTGGGGCAGCTTGCCGGGGTTTAGGATCAGGGGCAGTTTTGGTGGGTACAGGATCACGGGTCGTTTTCAGGGGGTTTAGCATCAGGGGCAGTTTTCAGGGGGTTTAGGATCAGGGGCAGTATCCAGAGGGTTTAGAAACAGGGGCAGTTTGCAGGGATGCAGGATCACGGGCAGTTTTCAGGAGGGCAGGGGCAGTTTTCAGGGGGTTTAGGATCAGGGGCAGTTTTTAGAGGGCCAGGATCAGGGGCAGTTTTCAGGGAGGGCATGATCAAGGAAAGTTTTCAGGGGGTTTAGGATCAGGGGCAGTTTTTAGAGGGCCAGGATCAGGGGCGGTTTTCAGGGAGGGCAGGAGCAGGGGCAGTTTTCAGGGGGTTTAGGAGCATGGGCAGTTTGCAGGGGGGCAGGATCAAGGGAAGTTTTCAGGGGGAGCAGGAGCAGAGGGGCAGTTTTCAGGGGGTTTAGAAACAGGGGCAGTTTTCAGGAGGGGCAGGATCATGGGCAATTTGCAGGGGGGGCAGAAGCAGGAGCAGTTTGCATGGGGTTTAGGAGCAGGGGAGGTTTTCAGGGAGGGCAGAATCACGGGCAGTTTTCAGGGGGAGCAGGAGCACGGGCAGTTTTCAGGGTGTTTAGGATCAGGGGCAGTTTTCAGGGTGGGAAGCATCACAGGCAGTAGTCAGGGGGTTAAGGATCACAGGCGCTTTTTGGGGTTGGCAGGATTATACTGGCAGTTTTCTGTGGGGGCAGTCTTCAGGGGGTTTAGGATCAGGGGCAGTTTTCTGTGGGGGCAGAATCAGGGGCAGTTTTCAGGGGGTTTAGGATCAGGGACAGTTTTCTGTGGGGGCAGAATCAGGGGCAGTTTTCAGGGGGTTTAGGATCAGGGGCAGTTTTCAGGGGGCAGGAGCAGAGGGGCAGTCTTCAGGGGTTTTAGGATCACATGCTGTTTTCAGGGGGTATAGGAGCATGGGCAGTTTTCAAGGGGAGCAGGATCAGAGGCAGTTTTCAAGGGGGCAGGAGCAGGGGCAGTTTTTGAGGTGGGAAGCATCACGGGCAATTTTCAGGGGGTTTAGGAGCAGGGGCAATTTTTAGAGGGGCAGGAGCCAAGGGGGCTTCCCTTCCTTTCAAGGGGGAAGCATCATGGGCAGTTTTCAGGGGGTTTGGGATCGCAGGCGGGTTTTGGGGTTTGGCAGGATTATACAAGCAGTTTTCAGAGGAGCAGGAGCATGGGCAGTTTTCAGGGTGGACAGGATCAGGGGCAGTTTTTGGGGGGTTTAGGATCAGGGGTGATTTTCAGCAGGGCAAGAGCAGGGGCAGCTTTCAGGGGTGCAGGAACAAGGGCAGTTTTATGGGGGCCAGGAGCAGGGGCAGTTTTTGAGGTGGGAAGCATCACGGGCAGTTTTCAGGGGGTTTAGGATCACAGGCAGTTTTCGGGGTTGGCAGGATTACCGGCAGTTTTCAGGGGGTTTAGGAGCATGGGTGGTTTTCAGAGGGGCAGTTTTCAAGGGGTTTAGGAACAGGGACAATTTTCAGGGTGGGCAGTTTTCAGGGGGTTAAGGATCACAAGCAGTTTTCAGGGTGGCAGAATCAAGGGCAGTTTTCATGGAGGGCAGGATGAGGGGCAGTTTTCAGCCTTGCACTCCATCCTGCTGGGTGCTGTGACCACCCCGTGTGCTGAGGGCCATCCTGAACCCCTCAAGCTGGGAGGCAGGCAGTGTGTGCCTGTCCTTGTCCCCAAGCCCCTAAGGACAGGAATTCCAGGTGTTGGAGGAACAGACAGCTAGTCCAGGTGCTGGAGCCCTTCCTGAATGGGTTTATGAGCTGTTTGTGGCCATGCCCCAAGCCCCCACGAGCCTGTCTGCCTTGTGGGACCACGGACAAGAACTAGGAGTGCATTTGACCTTATTTCAACTGCTCTTTCTCCAAAAATCAGATCTGCTGGGGGTTGTGCTGATGCAGAAATCAAGCCTGCCAAAATCTGCCTCCCAAGGTCAGTGGGGCTGTGGGAGATCCCAGGAGGGAGGCTGATAAAAGAGCTTTTCATTGCTACTACATGATTTAGCATCAGCATCCTTGTCCCCACAAGGACTCCCCACCCTTGGGTGAAATGCAGGATGTGGCTTGAAGAAAGCAGAAAAAAATCCTCCCTAAACACAGACCCCACAGCTTGAGCAGAGCATCACCTGAGCCTGGGGCTTCCTCCATTACCTAATCCCAGCTCTCCTGAGAGGACACCACCCCCCTTGGGCCCCAGAGACCCCAGGAGCATTTCCACCTTTGCCCCAGCAGCTCTCCCATCTCAGCAAAGGGGGCTCTCAGTGTTCAGGGGGGCTCAGGAGTTTTGCAGCAAGCCCATGTGCATCTTGGGGCTCTCAGGGCACCTTTGCAGGGGACACAGGACTCCAGCACCCGGTTCCTGCAGCCTGCATGTCCACATTCCCAGATTTTCCATGCAGGGCCATGCTCAGACTGCTCACACAAGAGACCTAGTTTCTGCTCTCCCTGCTGCCAGAAATATCCCAGCTGCCTGCAGTGGAGAGCAGGTGAGGAGAGCCACAGGCTGGCAATGCTGGGGCACTTTGTGGGCATCAAGGGGCTCCCCCAGGGAATTGTGGTGCGTGCTGTGGTCACCACACACATGGGGACACTCTGTGTCAGGATTGTGCTGAGGGGATGGCAGGTGGGCCAACCTCCACGCTGGCAATGATGGATGGGGCACCTCAGTGCCCTTAGCTCATGGACATCCTTTATTTCTTTGAAGGCCAGGTTGGAGGGTGTGACCGTGTTCACAGGGGTTCTTGGATGAGGGAAGAGATGAGAATGTTGACTCCAGGTTTCAGAAGGCTTGATTTATTATTTTATTATATATATTGCATTAAAACTATACTAAAAGAATAGAAGAAAAGGTTTCATCAGGAGGCTGGCTAAGCTAAGAATAGAATAGAAAAGAATGATAACAAAGACTCTGTCTTGGACAGAGAGTCCGAACCAGTTGACTGTGATTGGCCATTAATTACAAACAAACTAACATGAACCAATCACAGATGCACCTGCTGCATTCCACGGCAGCAGATAACCATTGTTTACATTTTGTTCCTGAGGCCTCCCAGCTACTCAGGAGGAAAAATCCTAAGGAAAGGATTTTTCATGAAAAGATGTCTGGTGACAGGAGGGGGCTTGGAGAAACCTGCTCAAGGGGAAGGTGTCCCTTCCCTTGTCAGGAGGGTGGAAGGAGATGAAATTTAAGGCCCTTCCCAATCCAAACCATTCTGGGTTTCTCTGATTCTCTTCCACTGCCCTCAGGATGGGGATGCTGAGGAGCTCCCAGCCTAGGATCAGGAGAAGGGAGGCTGAGAAGCCCAGGACACAGGAGCCATGTCGGCGCGCGGGCGCTGCGCCCGGGTGCTGCCCTCCGAGCTGAACAAGGTGTGCCCCGAGAGGGGAGATGAGCCTGCCACGCACCCCAGCAAGATGAGCGACTTCGAGGTGGTCCCCAACCTGCAGCAGAGCAGCAGCAGCGTCTCCAGGAGCAGGAGGAAGGCTCATTTCCCTGCTGGCAGCAATGAAAAGGCAAGTTCAGGGGGTGCTGGAAGAGGGGATGGTTTGGCACATGCATGAAACAGCATTAATGAGTGGCTCACTAGCAGGAGCATTAATAACTGATCAGGTTGGTTTTAGGGATAGAAAGCCTGCAGATATCTGAGGCACATGGCCAGCACTCATATCCCTTCACCTTGGAGTGCATCTGGCTTTTCTTTGCAGACAGTGATGGAGCTTTCATCCTTCACACCCCAAGAAGTGCCCAGATGTCCCATCTCTGACATCCCTGGAATAACTTCTGGCCCTTTCCAGAAACCCTGATCCCTGGCTGCTTTTCTTCCTCCACCAGGAAAATCTCATCTCCTGGATTCCTGAAAACATCCGAAAGAAGGAATGCACCTATTTTGTGGAAAGCTCCCAGACATCAGATTCTGGGTAAGTGAGGCACTCCCTCCTTCCCTCCCCTGCAGGAGAGCAGAAGTTAGGGTTGTTTACAAAGCTACAGCACCAGAAAATCCCAGCTTTCTGTCACAGTGATTCAAAACCCTCTTTCTAACTGGTTGTTCAGCATGTGGTGAGTCCCCACATGGCTGAGATTCTGTGTCCCAGGGAAAAACATTTCCAAGGCTTTTGCATGCAGTCATTTCCACCCTAAATATTTCTGTCCTAAATCTCTACCAGTGGAAATATTTTTATTTTTTTCCATTTATTTCCTCCCAAACATTGCCCTTGTTTCTGCGCAAGTTCTGAGCTGGGGGAGCAGCTGGGTGGGAGATGTGGGGCCTGTGATGTTCCTGAGGAGAACAGCACCTCCTGCCCAGGCTGAGGCCCGGCTTTGCCTTTGGGGTTTCCCCATGGAGCTGTCGGTGTGTTTTTCAGGAGGATCGTTTGTGAGTGTGGCTATCTCAGGGAACAGCACCTGGACGATGCTGCCAAGCCTCCCATCTTCCTGGGGAAGGAGTGGGACCCCAGCAGGCACATCCAGGAGATGCCAACGGATGCCTTCGGTGATATCCGCTTCACAGGGCTGGGGCAGAAGACAGGGAAGGTGATCTGCTTGTCCCCCCTGTGGGTGTGTGGGGAGACAGTGCTTGGGTCAGTGAAGAGCTCAGGGAAGAGCTCATAGGTGTCATGGAAGACGACACTGAGTTTGCTCTGGATCAGGGCAATGGTTATCTTGGCCATGGGCAGGTTGGCTACCTGTGTGATGACATGGGAGATGGCACAGGAGCATTTCCCTCCTTGATGAGAGGACATTGAGAAAGGGTGGAATTGCCCCAAAGGAAACAGTGATTCAAGCAGTGGAAAGATTGAGACAGGACCCCTTCTCCCAGCCTTAAACTCTTTCTGAAGCCACAAGATTCAAGGAGTGGCTGTTCCCTATCCTTGCCCTCAGATTTTTCTGGGAAATGTTTGTTCCTAGGAAAGCTAACGGAATAGGGTCATGGACAAAGACCTGGACCAGCAGAAGCAGGACTCTGCTGTGGAATGGTGTTGGGAGGCCTCTGGGGTGGGACAGGAGGAATTGTGCTGGAGCTGTCCTGTTACCCTGATGCTGTTGTTTATACCCAAAATAACAAATGTGCGTGGTCCCTTTTCCTGCAGTATGTGCGTGTCTCCTCGGACACCCCCCCAAGGGTCATCTACCACCTCATGACACAGCACTGGGGCCTCGACCCCCCCAACCTGCTCATCTCAGTCACTGGGGGAGCCAAAAACTTCGTCATGAAGCCAAGGCTGAAGAACATCTTCCGGCAAGGGCTGGTCAAGGTGGCCCAGACCACAGGTAAGAGACCACAGAATAATGAAATTGCAGAATCACAGATTAGTTGGGGTTGAAAGGGACTTTTAAATGTCATCTGGATGCAGAGGGTCTATGGTGGTGTTCACAGGGGTCCTGGGAAGAGGGAAGAGATGAGGATCTGACTCCATGTTTCAGAAAGCTTATTTATTATTTTATTACATATATATTATGTTAAAACTATACTAAAAGAATAGAAGAAAGGATTTCATCAGAAGGCTTGAAAGGAAAGAGAATTGAAAGATAACAAAAGCTCGTGAGTCTCAGAGAGTCCAAGACAGCTGGACTGTGATTGGCCATTCATTAGAAACAACCACATGAGGCCAATCACAGATGCACCTGTTGCATTCCACAGCAGCAGATAACCATTGTTTACATTTTGTTCCTGGGGCCTCTCAGCTTCTCATGAGGAAAAACCCTAAGGAAAGGATTTTTCATAAAACGTGTCTGTGACAAGGGTCTCCCTGTGGTTGTCCCTGGCCATGCCAGGCTTAGTGAGCTGGGCTGCTCTGGTGACGCTAAGCTGCTTTAGGAGCCCTGTAGGTCCTACCTGGACCACGATCACCAGGGATGGGCTGTTCCTGCTCAGTCACAAAAGAGGCTCAGACAGGTGCTGAAGAAGGCATTGCTTGTGCCACCAGGGCAGGGAAGGGACATCTTGTGGGGGATGGAGCACCCCAGGAACCCACTGCCACACGGGGGAGGCTGTGGGCAGAGCCTCTCCCTTCCCATGGCCCTCTGTGCCCCCTCCCAGGAGCCTGGATCATCACAGGGGGGTCCCACGCTGGTGTGATGAAACAGGTGGGAGAGGCAGTGCGAGACTTCATGCTGAGCTGCAGCCACAAGGAGGGCGACATTGTCACCATTGGCATTGCCACCTGGGGGACCGTGTACAACCGCGAGAGCCTCATCTGCCCCATGGTGAGCCAGGCAGCCCAGGGAAACACAGCTGGGCACAAGTGATGCTCACAGAACTCCAGAATGGGTTGGGTTGGAAGGAACCTGACAGCTCAGCTTGTCCCACCCTCTGCCATGGGCAGGGAATCTTTGATTAGACCAGGCTGCTCCAAGAGCCATCCAGCCTGGCCTTGAACCCTTCCAGGGATGGCACCAGGCTGGAATTTTCTGAGAAGCCACTCCACTCTGCCCGTGGTTCTGTGCTTCTCCTGGGTGGACTCTTGTGGGTGTGAGGGCCAGTGCAGCATGGGGCAAGGCTGACATGAGCGCTGTGGGGGCACAGGGACAGTTTGGCCAGACTGTCCCCACAGGCTGACCCATTCCTGTCCCCATGTGCTGGTCACTTTGGCTGTCTGCTGCTCCTCTGCCAGGCTTCTCCCAGAGTGTCTCTTCCTGCTCCTTACAGGGGGGCTTTCCTGCTGAGTACATGCTGGATGAGGAGAACCAAGGCAGCCTGTCCTGCCTGGACAGCAACCACTCCCACTTCATCCTGGTGGACGACGGGACCCACGGGAGGTACGGCGTGGAAATCCCCCTGAGGACCAGGCTGGAGAAGTTCATCTCTGAGCAGACCAAGGTGAAAGGAGGTAATGCAGACCATCTACAACACACAGCCTGGCCTGAGGCAGGGATGGGCCATTCCCCTGGAATGGTGTCCTTCCTGGGCTCCAGCAAGGGGCTGTGGCTTCCCTGGAGGATCCAGCACAGGGGCTGAGAGGATTGCCATGATAAATGTGGAACCTGGTTCCTCCGTGACACAGATCAAAGAACTTTTCTCTGCCAGACTTATGGGATCACTAAAGGAGTCCACAAACCTTGTGATGCTGAGTTGTTCAGGGAAAGTAATTTCTCCCAGAGGGCCAGGTCCCAAGGGAGCTTCCAGACGTTACCTTCTCACTGTGCAGATGATCTCCTGCCATGGCACATGCACTCATGTGCTCACAGAACCCCAGAACCCCTGAGCTGGAAGAGACCCATAAGGATCCTCTAGTCCAACTCCTTGCACAGAACACCCTCAAAAATCCCACCATGTGTCTGAGCTGCCAGACAAAAACTGGGCATGGTTTTCCTCCCTTCCCCTGAAGCCTGGCATGTCAGGGACACTGCTCCCACCTTTCCTTCTGCACTCCTCCACTCAGAGGAGACCACACGGGGGGATCAGCCCTATGGGAAGGTCACCCTGGGTTTGCTTCCCTGCAGGTGTTGCCATCAAGATCCCCATTGTGTGTGTGGTGCTGGAAGGAGGCCCTGGGACTCTTGATGTAAGGAACTGCCTGTGGCAAGCTGAGGCAGGGGAAGGCAAAGGAGGGACAGCTCCATCCCAGGGCGCTGCTCCTGTTCGTGCCACACGGACAGGAGTGCTGGGAGCAGCAGAGGGTGCCAGGCTCAGAGAGGGCCTGCAGGTGCCTGGCAGGGATCCTGACCAAGCTGCCCGCTCTGCTGCAGACCATCTACAATGCCATCACCCACGGGACCCCCTGTGTGATCGTGGAAGGGTCGGGGCGTGTGGCCGATGTCATCGCGCAGGTGGCCAACCTGCCCGTGGCCAAGATCACCATCGCCCTGATCCAGAGCAAACTCAGTGTCCTCTTCCAGGACACCTACGAGCTCTTCACTGAGAGCAAACTGGTGGAGTGGACCAAGAAGGTGAGTCCCCTGCTGCCTCTGGGAGACCAAAGAGCAGCAAGGGTCCCAGTGGGGAGTTTAAGCCTCATCTGCCCCCAGCCACCCTCATCATTGTCCTGGTGGGCACCCCAAGGGCTCAGGCTCCCTTTGGGCACAGAGGGAGTGTTAGTGACCAGCCCACTGTGGAGGACACAGCCCAGGGGTTCTGCAGAGATGGAGGGCAGTGAGGAATTGCCCAGCACAGTGGGGAGCAGCAGGGAGGAGATGCTGCTGCCCACTGCTTGCCCACGGCTCTACTTGTAGATCCAGGACATCGTGCGGAGCCGGCAGCTCCTGACCATCTTCAGAGAGGGCAAATATGGCCAGCAGGACGTGGATGTGGCCATCCTCCAGGCCCTCTTCAAAGGTGAGGGCTGGGGGCCTCCCTGGAAGGATGGGGCAAGGTGAACAGGACAGGGTTCAAGTCACTTCCACCTCTGCTTGACTCATGGGGTCACCAAAGAAGTCCCCAAATCTTGTTCCTGGGGAGAGATGATTATCCAAAGGGCCACAGATCCAAGGAGGCTCCCAGGTGGTATCTTCTCACTGAGTGATCCTCTGTTCTAACCCATTCACTTTGTGTGCAGCATCCCGAAACCAGGACCACTTTGGTCGGGAGAACTGGGACCACCAGCTGAAGCTGGCCGTGGCCTGGAACAGGGTGGACATTGCCCGGAGTGAGATCTTCACAGATGACCACGACTGGAAGGTAGGGCCACACCTGTGCTGCTTGTCTGGTCAGGCTTACAGCTTGGCAGGAACTTCTCACCTTGGCTGTGCCCAGGGAGAGTTTTAAAGGTGTTTCTCCTGGACCCTGAACTCCCAGTGCATTAACTGGGGCTGTTCTTCAAAAATGCTCTCAAACATCCAGAGCAGAGCTAAGCACACACAAAGGCAATTGGTATTTTGCTCAAAACCAGTGTTTTTAAACACTCACCTAGAACTCAAAATACCTCTTGACAGCTCTGCCCTGTGGTTTGTGTCTAAACCCTTCCCTGCTCATACCTTATTGCAGAGTGGGGCAGGGGCCAGCTCTGCCATCCCTGCCTGACCTTGCTGTTGAGAAGCCAAGGCTGAGCAGGGTTTTCTGTCCTTCCTGATGGGGCTGTGGAACCTGGAAGGGATTTTCCTATCGCAGTCAACAGTTTGGGTTTCTCCAGCTCACACACCTTTGATGAGACTGGGAAGGGCTGGTGGGAGCTGGGAACCCAACAGTGAAACATTTGAGGATAAATGCCCCAAATGTTGAAGGTCAAGCTGGCAACCTGGCCACCTGTAAGGTGTCCCTGTCCCTGGCAGGGGATTGGAACGAGATGAGCTTCCAACCCAAGCTGTCCTGCGATTCTGTGATATTCCTGAACTTGGGATAGGTGGTCCGTGCCCTACCCATCCCTCTGCCCAGCAGCCAAGGGGGCAGAGAGCTCCACTGCCACAGAGGAATGCCCTCTTCTAACCCTCTGGGAATGTCCCACAAGTTTCAGTGCATGCCTTGTGCTCTCTCACATCCAAAGGCTCCTCCTGTGCTCAGGGATGAAATCTCCCCCCAAGTGAGGAGCACGGTAGGAGCTCTGAGACCAGGGAGCCCCTCACCTCTGCCTCTGCCCTGCCAGCCCTCCGATCTCCACCCTGTGATGGCAGCCGCCCTGATCTCCAACAAACCCGACTTTGTGAAGCTGTTCCTGGAGCAGGGAGTGCGCCTCAAGGATTTTGTCACCTGGGACACGCTGGTTTACCTCTACGACAACCTGGCGCCGTCCTGCCTGTTCCACAGCAAGCTGCAGAAGGTGCTGCTGGAGGAGAGGGAGCACACGGCCGGCTCCAAGGTGCCGAGGCTGCAGATGCACCACGTCTCGCAGGTGCTGCGGGAGCTGCTGGGATGCTCCACGCAGCCCCTGTACCCCAAGCCCAAGCAGGCGGAGCGGCCCCGGCTCTCCATCCCCGTGCCGCACATCAAGCTGAACGTACGCATCTCGGGTTACCGCGGGGGAGGGAGGGACACCGCCTCCGGGTCTCTGTCCTGCTGTCTGCTCAAAAATGCTCCTAAAAGTGCCTTTTAGTCGTCTAAAAGGTGCAGCTTCCTACAGCTGTAGCACTGTGTGGATGTGCGATGCTGGTGGGGTGGGCGCACGATGGACACACAGCTCCACCTGATCCCACTAGAAAAAGTGAAAATCCCAGGATTAATCCAGTCCTGGGAGCCGGACAAAGCCCTTTGCATGGGTACTGGAGGCAGCAGCGGGGGTTTGAGCGTGGCACACCTTGCAGGTGCAGGGCTCCAGCCTCAGGTCCCTCTACAAGCGCTCTCCTGGCCGAGTCACCTTCACCATGGACCCCGTGCGCGACCTGCTCATCTGGGCCGTGGTGCAGAACCGCAGGGAGCTGGCAGAGATCATCTGGGCACAGGTACTGTAGGAGCCAGGGGG